ATCATTAGTTGAGGTACAGTATATAATCACTTTATCTGCTTTGTCATTGTGCTGCAACAGTTGTTCAACAACAAAACCAAAGCAGGATTGGAATAGTTGATCATCATCCCCTTGACAGTTAGGAAGGATACATACTTTATAAAATATGTTGGGTCGGTTTGTAGATGATTTGATAACAATACAACCTTCCATATCCAATTTAGCAGTGATGTAGTTCATTGTTTTGCAATTAGCAGTGGCTGTAAGTGCAGTTATAGGTAATCCAGCCATCATTAAAGCACGGATGTCTTTTAACTCATTGTAAGCGCTTCTGAAATCTCTGCCCCTTAAAATAAATCAAGTGAGTTCAGAGTAGGTTACTGTATAAAGTTACTTATTTGCAAGGCTAATTATATAACGTGATGAACCAAAGTGTAAAAAAATTTTGCCCTATCCAATCGTTGGTTATCTCGCCACATTTTCAATAATTTCAATAATCCTTTAAAACTTAGTATAAACATATGACAATTAGCCAAATTCTCTTGCAATAGAATGAAGCTCTGTAGTCAAGGGAAAGCACTTTGGCTAATTTATTTATTAAATTATTAAAATATCTAGCATAGACCTACCATTGTAGTACACAATGTGCCTCATCAATTGCCACACAAACAATATGCTCTTTCAGTTCCCTCAGAGTCTCCCTTACAGTCAAACTGGTAAATGCCTCAGGGGATAACAAAGCGATTTTGATGTTCGATTTTCCATGTCGAAGGTCCTCAACTTGTCGGTCTTTAAGATCGGTGAGCTTGACGCTATGTATTCCTCGTTCGGCCATTTTAGCCATCTGATCATCCATGAGGGAAATTAGTGGTGAAATCAAAACGACGATAGATGAACGGCAATCGTTGTTTGGTGACGATCGCAGAGCATCGCAAACATATGGAAAGAGCGAGTAAATCAGCGACTTTCCGAAACCAGTTCTCAGATGAACGAATACATCTTTACCGCGAGACAGGTAATAGATCGCTTGCAATTGCTCAAACTTCGGCAAAAAATTATATTTACACATTTCCATGGCAAACTTAACGGCTTCAACAAATTCTCTGCCAAAAATATGAAGAAACTTGTTCTCAATCAGCGCTGCAAGAGTATCAGAACTTTCCTTTGACATTGCGGATTTTCCCCACAGTAAACAGAGCTTAGCGACCTGGCGACCTCCACATATGTGTGGTGGTAGTTGACGCATGCGCATGCAAATTCTTCTGGACCCTCCTTCTCCGCCGCGCCGTGTGGCGAGAATAGGGTCTGGGACTGGACTAATTTTCACTTTGTTCCATCATTGAAACTTTCCCAAGGGGAAGTGCATGACCTTTCAAGAGAGGTGGAAAAATTCTCAGGGGAGGTGCAAAACGATCTCTGGGGAGGTGCGCACCTCTCCACACCTCCCCTCAAAATCTGGCCTTGATGCAAATAAATCACCACAGCTAGAAAGAGCATAATAAAATAAGTAAATTATTGCAAAGTTTGGTTGCGAATTGTTGCAAAATACGGAAAATATAGCCTTGCAAAGTTTGCAAATTTTGTACACTTTTGTATTGCATGCGAAAATTGCAATTATACAAAAGAATACAAAATTTGCAAACTTTGAAAGGCTATATTTTCTACATATTTTACAACATTTTGCAACCAAACTTTGGAATTTTAGTAATTTAAAGCCCCGTTTACACTATGCTCAATTATCCGTGCCGTACCAAAAATTGAGCGTAGTGTAAACGGGGCTTTAGTATGCCCTTCCCGGGAATATACTTTTTTTGCTAAGATAAAAAATTAGTCTATAATGGGAATGTCTATTGGTCCCCATTGCCTATTTTTCTTTCTCTAAAATAAACAGCTAGAGTTTTTGTTTCCTCTAAATAAAGATAAAGAGCTAGAGGGGCGGGGGGCAAAATTTATGTTTTGTTTTGCCTTTTGGGGGGGGGGGATTTGAAAATTTTACTTGTCTTAAGAGGGGGGCAACGAGAAAATATTACATCTGTAGAGTTTCTCCTCAGTCCCCCCCTGTACATTAAATAATGAGCGGTCCCTAAGTTGAATGCGTTCTAGGGACGTCTCTGGCAGCCACTTTATGATCGATTCAAGGAGCATAAGCTGCGGTGGTAAGATCAGTTAGGGGCTAATCCCAGCCGCTCACCTTGTCAATATTCCCTGTATGAGGACATCAGATAACCGGAGAAAACCCACGATTTTCGGTAGAGCGTTGACCTGATCATGTGTCATGAGTTCACAACGAGAATCGAGCCCATGATCTGAAAGGAGCATGCTCTGAAAATTGCGCCATCGAAGCCCCGTGTCACTTAAATTTAAGGCCTTATTCCACGACGGCGAAATTCTTCGCAAGAAATTGTGTACGCGAAATACGGATGGTTGCACATGAGTAATTCTATCGAATTTTCCCACTCTTTCGCTTTCGCCGTGACTTTTACCCACTGGCGAAGAGAAATGTTCTCTCGCGAAGTCAAATTTATCTTTACTGCGTATATGCGTTAATTTATTTCGCAAAAATGTATCAGCATTTATGAAGTTCAATAGCTTGGTTAGAGTTATGGTTGCGAGAGGGGCGATGGTCGAAGAGAAGTATATTCGTCTGCGAAATATGAGAATGCAAGTTACAACCAATAGATTGGACTCAAATTATAACACCGTCTCGGTTGGATAATAATTTGTCTGATTAATTAACTCGATATTCAAACATTTCAAATATGCTGAAGGAAAAAAATGCTTCTTTGTATGTCCTATTAAAAGCTTCAATTGACCACAGCGTGCAAGTCTATATCACTGAGGAATTTTTTACTGGGAAACCATCGTATCAAAAGAATTTTAATTATATCATGATTCTTTATGTGGAAACTTCTATGCGCAGCCAGCGCAGGTGGGCAATTGAAAGGCTTATGTTCAAATTATATACCACGATAACGAAATCAAGTTTTAGTTGTTCCTATGTTGACAGATTAAGTTTTGATAAATAAATAAATAAATGAATAAATAAATAAACAATATATAAATAAACTCCTCGACAGCAGTACAATATATATTTTCCTAGCAAATTTACGGCAACATGGACGTCTACTGATTGCTCCACTGATGGATACTACGGACCGATCATTCAGGCCACATTAAATTGAATAATTTCTCTCTCAGTCATTCTTGCAACACCAAGACGCAATATCGTATTATTCTCCAGGCATATAAGAAATTTATTAGCTATAAAAACTATGACTTGTCAATTGAAATTACTTTCACTGAACTTCGTGACATTGTTCAGATATATAGTCATATATTGATCAAATGAATTGCTATATATTATATTATATTGAAATTATATTTAATTATATTTTAGTCACAATGCGATGTACTGTATACTCTAAAACTTTCTCTTTTGAGTCCTATAGCTAAATAGGGATGGGCGATATTTATACACATTTTGGTCCATATACCGGCCGATACCAATTCCAATACTTCAATTTAATTAATGATGAAGTCATTATAAGTGATGATGGTCAAGTTACATATTAAAAAGAGATCAAGAACTATATCAAGTCTCTCTTTACTCATAATTTACGTCTTTTGCCGATTACAAATACAATCACAAGCCACGTATAAGGTATGAGTCATGTAGATGTATTATTCTACATTACTTTGTGAAATCACTTCACTAACTTCCCGACGAAGAGCCTTCGCTCGAAGAAATATGGCATGGTCAAATTGTTTGCAACAAACTCTCGGCAGCATTTGTTATTTCCATAAATGCTGGCCTAACATATCGCAGGCTCAAGTGGCATCGAATTTACCAATACTTTTATCACAAGTATCGAAACTTTTTCTAGTGCTGCTGATATCGATATTTGTGCAGTGCAGCTTGGTACGTGCAATGAGGCCACAGTGCTCAAACAACAACAAGGCCAAGTGAAGTGAGCCGTTAGAGGTCGATAGAGAAACACCTCATATGAATGAGTAATATTTTGAAAGAATCTTGAGAAAAATTACAATGACCACACTTACTGTCTTTGCAACTTTAAACAATGAATCATTAATAACTTAATATGTTATCAAAATATGAAGATTCATGATCTTGCAAGCACAGTGACCATGCAGTTTTTTAGTTAAATATTTGAAATATATGGTGGACATGAAAACGCAATTTTGTGTGTTCTATAAATAGTGACACGAGAGGAATTTATTACTGGAAAAACGATTACATCAATGGAATTTTAATTATCGACTAATTCTTGATGTTTATTTGCGCACTTGAAAAATTCAATAGCTTTAGTCATACCACCTCAATACCTACACAGCATGACGTGTTTTTTTTTTCGTTACACGTATAGTTATTCTAATCATCAACGACAACACCAAAATGGTGCAATTAAATCACTTTTGCTGCGTAGACATTTGTTTCAACACACTTATTGGGTGTAAATTTGGTTTTTACTAACTGGTGTCAATATTTGCACGAAATCATTTTATACAGAGCAGCAATGATTGATATAATTTTGGTACCAGTCTGCCAACACCCGGAAATTTAAGCTCGGATCTAGCGAGGACTTTAAAGTTGGCAGTCACGCGACCTTGGTTAGCTGTTCTTAATGTTCCAAACACTATCATGTATCGTATTCTATTTATATAATTAAGTTTTAAAAAAGTAGGAACACTCATTAAATCTCTATCTTGAGATATTGAAATATTCCCTGTAACAATGGACCATTTGCATTACAGACTAAATTTTGATCTAGACAAAAATTTCATCACAGCTTGAAAGAGCATCACAAAATTAGTAATATTCCAAAGTTTCGTTGCGAAATGTTGTAAAATGCGGATAATATAG